CTACTTTACGCATTTTTTCTATAGTAGAATGCGATTTATTTGAGAAAATACTCTCTTTTGCTTCTGAGTAAATTTTCCATATTTTATTATATAGCATATCTGCTTTACTAGCCAATCCACATATTTTTAAGTAAAGTAAAATGCAAGTGAACTTTTCCTATCAACCTCTGAATGAGGGTAAAGTTTTTTAAAATATGCACGTATATCAATTGGTATACATCCTGGTACTTTAAGAAAAGTAGAAATATAATTATCCTCTAGACTAATCTTGATTATAACTGGCTGTATCCTATCGTTTTCTTCCTCACTATTATCAATAGCACCTTTTTTAATTTGAAAACTATTTTTAGATTTTGCCTCTATTTTCCCATAATAATTCTATTTTAGAATTTCTTCCTTCGATTTAAATCTTCCCATCATCTGTTGCTATATCCATTTGAGAATATTAAGACTATAAGCTCTTTCCATAATAAATGGCCAATCATATTTGGAATCACTAAGTCTGAGTTGAATATCAGGGATAAAGGCTTTCCAGCATAATGCAAATGCTTTCAGTAAATTTGTTTGATTTCCACACACAACTATTATCCATCATAGGTCTGGTGCAGTTTCAAGATCGACAAGACAGATTTGTTTTAATGGTCTTGGATCGTCTTTCCAATGCAAGGTTATACAAATTATGAATACAATACTTTCTTCATTCTGTATTTCTGCAAATTCATCCAACTCTCGTGATTGTGTCTCTATATCCCATGTAAAGATAAGTGTACGATCTCTCATGAGTGCTGAAATTGGAAAATAGTCACTTATCATTTTTAGATCTTCTACTCGCCAAAAATCATTTATAGAAACATGAAAATTGTATGTATAATGGGAATGTTTCATGTATCTATACTTGCTTATCATAGACCAACCAGAAATCGCAATTCTATTTTCTCTAGCTATTTTACAGTGGAATGAGAACATATCATCTGAAGCGGTTTTGAAATTGTTATCTTGGATAGCTTGGAGAGCTTTCTTTCTATCCCCACTACCGAGTGTAAAAATTCGTAAATATAACTTTTTTCTGTATGATAACCACACAAGGAGAAGGTCTTAATATGTTCTATTTTATAGATATTTATCGTATTACTAAGAATTTCATCTATTTTTATCCTAAACTCATTTACAGTTTCATTATCGGGTACAAGTATATCAAAGAAAATCTGAATTCCCGTAAAAGTAATTATCGCTTTTTGGCCATTGATGAGAGAGCCGTAAAGACGTAAAACATAATGATTTTTTTCAACTATTTTTTTTGATGATCCCTCAAAATCAATAGCCATAAAAGGGATCTCTTCTCTTTTAGCTAAAGCATTATTGAGAATTGCAGACAAACCCTCGTCATTTTCTGCAACTATATCATTGCAAGTTGGGATTCCTAAATAATCACCACCAAAATAGTAAAATAAGTATTGAAGTAATTGTTCTGCTTTTTTGTTTTCTGAAATCTTTGATTGAGGAAAAGCTTTAAACCTCTAGTGATACAATGCCCCACTATTTTCTTCCTCTATCTCTGGCTCGAAGCTCCCTGTCACATAAGTATCCCCACATTGCTTCAAGTCTTCAAGAATTGGTACAAGAGGTACAGGCACATTGATTGCATCTGTCAATGGTAGGGTGGGTGTATTGTGTTCACTTTGAGTACTCATAGTAAGTATATTTTACTGCTAGTATATTGTTTTGGAAAAAAAAGTTCAAAATGAAAATTAATTCTAAAGAATAGTTATTAGTAGATAATAATTATTATATTATAATTATATAAACATGGTATTTTATTATTGCTCCTATATTCTAAGGACTGGAAAAGTTTGCAATCGAGGTTGCTATAGGCCTGAAGGGTGTAAAGTTTACTGGGATTCTCCACCACATGTACCTTGTAAAGAATGTGGTAAGTTGACCTATTCTGGTTATGACTACTGTGATACTCATACAGATAAATATTGAAGAAGGGATCGATATCAGCAGAAAAAGCTAGAGAAAATAGCACAAGGTGGGGAATTAGAGATGAGTCAGACATGTAAGTGCCATTGTTCTACAATAAGACTCGAAGCTCAGCTTCCTCGATGCTTTGCATCATCTGGGGTAAAGGAAAATTAATATATATATATGTAGTATGCAGGATACCTATATTTTTCGAAGTTCCAACTAGGACGAATTTTTTCTGAGATATAAAGTAGGACAGAAAAAAATATAGCTGTTGGTAATTTCAAGCTGAATGAAAGAGTTTTAGAATACCCGTTCCAGTTGTCCTAGTTGTCCTAGTGAAATTTCGATCTTCTTACTTTTTTTTCTTTTTTTATCTATAGGTATACATAGTATATATTATATGTATATAGCATGTATATAACCGTATATATCATTATGTATAGTATAAATGTATCATAAGTAGATAAATTTTATTTTCCTAGATTATTACTTTTTACTAGGACAACTAGGACAAATATATAATAAATATAAAAGAACAAGATAAAAATAGATTTTAAATCTTTCTCCTATATCAAATCCATCCCAGTTAACATTTTTTTTACTAGGACAAGACCAGGATGGATTTTTTATTAGGACGTGAGCAGATCCATTTTAACCGCATTCTGGAATATCAATTGTGGAGTATAACTTACAGTTGGGTAGGTAGGTAAACATATATCTTGCTACTAGGGACAAAATAAGGTGATATCATATTTGATAGCATACTCGATAGCATACCTAATAGCAATTAAGCGACGCATATTTGATAGCAGTTCAGATAATGTGAATATAGCATACCCAATAGCAAAAATATAGCATACCTGATAGCATATGATAGCATACCTGATAGCGTGAATGTAGCATGCCTAGATAACGTGTATACAGCATATCTGATAGCAGAAGTGTAATGACGTAAATGTAAAATTATTGTTATATTTTTTATAGATCGTGGGATATCCAAGTGTGACGACATGACTACAAATTCATCGTCATATTTTTTTATAGATTGTGGGTACCCAAGTGTGACAACGAACTTATAAACCAATCGTCACTCGAATGATGATGCAAGCATAAATCATTCGTCACTCGAATGATAGAGTGAATACTAGTATATCTCTGATAACGGTGAGGCATTTCTGTCGTCACAACACTGACGACACAAGCGTGAATCATTCATCACTCGAATGATAGAGCGAATACTAATATATCTCTGACGATGCAAGTGCGAATCGATCATCACTTGAATGACGACGCAAATGCAAAATGCTCATCATACCTAAGCCTATTATACTCTAATCTAAGTCATTTTGAGTTTATATAAACTCAAAACGACTATAGTTTGAATTGCTAAAAACAAAAAAAAACTTCAGGATATACTCAAAATAGTCAACTCTTTCCTTTCCTTCACAAGTATCAAAGTTAATATATATAAGTTAACCCTAATTTTAAACAACCCTAATCTACAAATCTCTATTACTTTTTGGAAACAAGATATTACAAATATCAAACACAAGGATATTTTCTAACATCTGGATATTTGGCTCACACAAGATCTATCCTTAAAAGTAGCAAAAAACTTTATTACTAACAATATCATTTCAAATATTAACAAAATTCAATATGTAAAAATTACTGACAAACAAGTAATTTATATTATTGACAATATGATTCTAACACATGCAGCCTATCAGATGCAAAGCATATATCTAACAAAACACTCCTGTTTCAAAATCACAAAGTTTTATACTAATATAGTAAAACAAAAAGCATAACTATCTTAGTTTATCCCCAATTCTACCCTACACTACCCCTTGATCTATGCTCTAAACACACTTTATAATATTTAGCAACAACAACAAATTAGAACTTTGGACTGCAGTATCTATATACTAGACTTTAACAACTCAAGCATCAAGATTAAATTACAACAACTCCAGAATGTGGTCAACTCTAATCATGCTATTCTCACTGACCAATTAATTTTTCTTACAAAAGAATTCAAAACTAATACTGCTCAGTTAATATTAACACTGCACAACCTCAATATGCAACTATTTTATTCAACTAACCTGTAGCCAATTCCCAAACAAGTCAAAAACACTTCAATCAATTCAATTCTATTCTCTATCAAACATTTGGCAGCTATTAAACAAAAACTAAACATATACAATATTACCTGTATTAAACAATTTCTAAACTACACAAATATTTATATACTAGACTAGCACTCCTTCTACTACAATATTAAAAAAATTTCTAGAAGAAAAATCTCTTGTTAGTTCAAAAATATTATAAGCATAATAGCCTAGTCCTCAAACCCATCAATAACTTTAGTTTTTTCTAACCAATTTATATTTGTACCAATTAACTTGCTTAATAAAAAATGAATTATTATCTACTCAAAAAGATTTAATAGAGTCACGAGCCTGACAAACTGCTTAGCAAAAGTCAAACACTATATACAACATTTACTTAATTTAAAACAACTTATTCTCTGTTTTGGATACCAGAAAAAAAAACTACTCCCTTAAAACCAAATACTGCTTTTTTACAATATCAATACAATCTATTTATGAGATTCAAGTTGATTGCAGAAAACAAATTTATAAACAACTCAGCTATTTGCTCCACCTACTTATACCCTCACCTCAGCAACACAACATCCTTCCATTGTTGCCAACAATTGATTATTATACTATCTACTAATTCTTACAGTTATTTGAGAATATTTAAGCCTAGTTATAGAAACTATATACTGACTCTACTTTTCCAAGTCACCTACAACTATATATTATTGCCAAATCCAAGAAAACAAACAAAATAGACAAAGTCAAGATCTCTTTTACACAAATATATTTTCAACACAATCAATATGCATGGCATATAACAAACATATTTTTTCTATCTTATGTCTATACAACTTTTACATCATTGGCGATAGTTTATACTATCTTTTTTCTCCAAATCAAAGTAACCATTATACTGACAAAAGTTGGCTTTAATCCAAAATACAATTTATACTCAATCTCTCTTCATATCACTAGCAACATCTTTACAAAATACCCTTTAACAACTTTATATCAACAATAAGAGCAATCACTTTAGCTAAAGACCACAAAATAAATATCAACCTAACAGAAAACAAAATTAAAATACTAACACCAATCTCTAGCTACACACCAATCTCATATCTTAAACAGTAATAAGTACAAATTTTATCCCTAGTATTAATAGAACTCCCACAATGTATTCTATTTATCAACTACCCAAAATTGTTCAAAGAGCAAAAGTCATCATCAAATAGAATAAACAAAATCAGATTAAGTCAATAATATAACAACTTCCAGATATTCACTGAAAATTAATATTCAACTATCTAAATTATCAAAACAATCTACTAAGTTACAATACTTGCCTTACCAAATCAACTTTGAAGATCTTCAAAATAAAACTACTAACCTCTGAGTTACCTACTTATTTATATCTTTATTACAAAAACCTATTGGCACATCCTAATTTTTTTTGCACAAAATATTCTAGAATACTCGAAAACACTGAATACATGCTTACTTGTCTACACAATTTTACAAATATTTAAAAAATTATATCCAACACTATATTGAATATTTGTCAAACAAATAGCATGAACATACCATTACTAGATAAATTCATCCAAAAGTTTGTATCAACTTATATATACAAAAGAATTCTGTTTGGATTTATCAATGCAAAAATACTACAAAAACTAGGACCTCTCTCTCAAGGTATTACACTAATTTCACAAATCTATCACGCAATTGCTAAAAAAATATATAAAGAAATTTGGAAACCAAGTCAAATATGGATACAACAAACTTTACCAAACTTATTAATTATAATTACTTCTCTAGAAAATAATATTTCACTTTTTTTAACAAACAGACAATTCTGTTTATGGCTTAATAATTTTATTCACTATAATTCAACATTCTTGCTTTTAAATTATATAATCTAGAGGTTTTTCAACCATTTTAGCTAAGAATAGATTGAGAGTAAATTTTAGCTCTAACTTCTACTCCCTTTTGTTAAATATATAAATTAGTACTAGCTATATCCAAATTATATATTTTGAAATAAAGGAATAGAGAAAAGACCTTTTTTAAAAAATAAAAAAAAAATCTAATAATAAATTACTAACAAAGAGGTTATCTTAACAATAAAAAAAAAAAAGATTTTTGATATAAAGATATTAATACTTGATTATAGTTTATTATAAATTATATAGACTCAATTACAATTTAATTATATAAATTTAACTTTAATACTTTACATAATTTGAATAAATATATATTATAAAGTAATATTTAATATTTAATTTAAAATTAATAAGTTAAAAACTTGAAACTTTATCTTTTTATTGCAAGAATTAAATTCAAAGCTTT